GAGCCTTTTTGTTGTTGTGGCTATTGAATTACGTAAACTGTGTCCTCTTTACGAAGATGAAACTGATTTCCCATGCAATAATGAGTCAGTAATATTCATAGCTGTCGTTTGCAATCTGAAAATTGTATTTGCATTGCTATCTAGTTTCGTAGATTAGTGTCCTTCTTACAAACTCACCAACTATTCTTGGACTGACTAGCATCAGTACAATGACTGTTAAAATGCAACCACCTCTGTCAAGCCTTGTTAACAAGATGTCTGGCACAGAGCGAACTATTTTAAAAGTGAACTGATTAACTCGTTGTGTCGATTGCTTTTTCTCTTACAAAACAACTATTTTGTATGAGGGTTATTGGAAATAGAAGACAAATAACGTACTTTTGCTGGGGTAAAGGGCAGAAAACGATACAGAAAGGGGTGGGTGGTGGTTATAAAATTATAGCTGTGACTTTTCCTTCTGCAGTATTTATACTTTATTTCGTGGTAAAATATTATAGTAATTATGTTAAGGAAGAAAGGCGCTGAAATAAGAGACACGAAAACGTCCAACTTGTGGCGCAACATTGTTGCAGTGCAAGTTCGAAAACAATGTTGCTCGTATTACACTCTATCTATCCAACTTGTCACGCAACAAAATCTTTTTTTGCAAGTTGGGAAAACGTTTTGCGAAAAGTAGAACGTAGATCAACTTCCTGCAGCAAATTTGCAATTTGTTGCTCGTTTTTCATCACTCGTCCAACTTGTCACGCAACATTTTATGTGCAGAAGCGGCCGCCATGTTGAATTATGTAGCTTGTAGCCACATTAGCGTCCAGAATATCACCGTCATAGTCCCAACTTGTAATATTAGATTTTAATGCGTGACAAGTTGGATAGATAGATTTATCCGTTTCTGCGGTCGCCACATGTGAATTGAGTGTGTTTGATGTGTTGTTCTCCTCCATGCTACGAGGGTTTTCTCCGGATTCTCCGGTTTCCTCCCTCTGTAAAAATCAACATGTGAGTTGAGCGTTGTGTGCATAGAATATTGAATGTAGTGGTAGTGCGTGTGAGCAAAAAGCGTCCCCAGTTGGTGCGAAAGCGCTAGAACGACTAGACATATAAATAAAAGTAATTTATAGCAATACTGATCAAGTCGTTTACCACTCACTGATTTCCAGAGGCTCAAGTCGATAAGTGTTTTGATATATACCAAGTTTCATTTCTGAAAAAGATGTAGACGTAAGTAAAAAAATATTCAGTTTCGGCGTTCGAATTCACTTTCATACCGCAGGCATGTGACAAATATATAAATACATAAATAGTCGTAATATGATACTCCATTCTTGAGCTCTCTGTTGCTCAGGGACAACCACGATGTTGTGTATTCTAGGTGACATCCTTGAGTWTTGATATTGCTTGTATCGTTGAGAAGTTGTACATTCTTCATATCAAGTTAAGCTCCATACATTAGTGTCAAAGTTGGAATAGAGAAAGTTCACTCCATATATGGAACCATATAATTCCTTACTTGGATTGCGGGTCTTTACCCTGGGGTCAAAGATGGCGGACAAGCGTGTTCGTCGGCTGGCGAAACGGCTGAGAGACATTTACGAGCTCGGCGAAGACGAAAAACAAGAAAAAACTACAAAAAATAAGGAAAAAAACAAGCTTCTCTCCAGTCCCTTTTTTTAATACCGGGAAAGAGAGCTATGACATTCAATGTTTGATATGTACTTTAACATTGGTATTTGTGAATATAATTCTGACGCTAAAAACTATTAGGCAAAACCGAAGTGTAATCATCGCGTACGATTCCGGGTCATCCGGTGATTTTGCTCATTTGCATGCTATATCACGGAACGCCTGTCACATTTCATGCTAATTRACCTCGAGGAATTACAAAGGATAAGGAAGAATCCGTACTTTCCACTCTCGATCGCAATAACGGGAAAGCGTCAAGAAAAAAATGTAGCACCGGAAAATAAGAGTAATACGACGACAGTTTAGTGTGCTTTAATCTTACCTCTTAGCTCTTGGTGGATCCAGCGATTTTCTTTGAGGAAATACTGTATCAAAATGGCGGCCTGTTGTATGGAAAATACGACAATGCCTTTAAGGTGGCTGCCTACTTTTGAACGTTCGAATTGAGCCCACGATGAGCGCGCGCTCAAAAACCGCTGAAAAATCTACAAGATTTTATTGAAGAACCATACGCGTTTTGAGCTTCAACAGGGCAAA